ATTGTTATAAGCCCCTTGATGTATAATAGCTTCACCCTGATTCTTTAATGATGTATTATTAAAATTATCCCTAAGCCCTTGAGTTTGTTAGGATAAAATAATCTATAAAAGAGTTGGGAATTCGCGTTAGTTTTAAAGGACACCCTTTGGGATTCCAACAATTCATTCATAGTACCTTAAATAACTTACTCTGATAATCTCTTTTAATAAAACAAATTATTGTCAAATCACCAACGTCACGCCTCTGGCGAGTTGCCTTATCACCTAAATTATATCTTTTTGTATATAAATTATTAAACGTACAATTCACCCCATAACACTAGTAAAAAAAGTAACTTTGGTTTGAAAAGTTTTCTTTTACAAACTATACGTATTATCATGATTTCTATAAGTCCGTTTTAATTTGCGTTTCCGAACCGTACTACTTTACTATATATTCCCTTGACACCCAAATTCGTCAAAAAAAAACCCCCCATTGTAATTTGAATTGATAAATCATGATATCTCGTGTCCTAATGGTGTGGCTTGGATTATTGAGAGGATTGGAATAATATCAAAATCATCCAAATCACCCAAATCAGACCATTAAATCACTAGATATCACGATTTAATCAACTTAAATTACAATGTTCTTTTGTACGAATTTGAATGCGAATTTAAAGGTCACTTTGTACGAATTTATGTGAAAAAGGATAACAAAAACCCAACAAAGATGTACGATTATTATTACCCACGGTGATAAGCGATTTATTATTTGTGGGTGAGAATGCAACGTAGGATAAAAATTGTATGTTTGGTTAATGGCGTAAAAGGATTTGGATATTATCGATGGTACTGACCACGTATAGTTAGAAGTATTTAGGATACTATGGATGGGGTAGCAGCTACCTCATTGTTCGTTCCACCATATATAATAACGCAACCATCTGAAGCTAAAAATTAATAAAGAATATACGAATAATATTTAAGATTTTTTTTGAATTTTATAATTAAAATAGCAACAAGTAACTGATAAAACAAAAAAAATAATAATTTGAATAATATTAATAATATTGGATTTTTTTTTTATCTTCAATTTCTAATATTCTTCAAAGTGTTGACACACAACAGTTTTAGTATAAGTGGTTCTCGAATTACTGTAATAAATTTCCAATTATAATTAGGCAAATTTACGAAAATGGCGAAGGGCAAGATCATTTACGAAAATGGCGAGAGGCTAAACAATTTACGAAAATGGTGAAAAGGCAAAACCACTTACGAAAATGGCGAAAAGGCGAAATCACTTACGAAAATGTCGAAAAAGAACCATTTACGAAAATGGCGAAAGGCGAACCTTTGGCGAATATGAAAGTCAAAAGCCTCTGAAATTCGCCTTTGAGAAAGAGTAAGCTATATTGGTAAATGAATAAATCACGTATGTATCATGGTTTTTAAGCGCAGGATCGATATGTGTTGTATACATGTTTTGCGATTATTAATCGACCCGAGTCATTTTTTAATTTTCATCGATTAAAAAAATAAAAAATCATAATATCATCTTTATGCTTGTTATCGATTCTGAACTGATCCAAGTTGCAACATTTGAATTCTAAATGACTTGAGTGATAAAAGAATTCAATTTAATATATGAGTTTAGAATTACAGTAAATTCTCGAAATAGTGGGCATGGGCGTTATTTCGAGAATTTACGGTATCTCTTTTAAATCAGCATCTTAGATATGATTGAGTACGAAATTCTTATTTTAGAAAATGAAATGAATGTATAATATTGAGTGAAGTCAAATGCAAAAATACAAAATACAGTATTTAAAATCCATTTTAGAGAATAAATTAGAAACTTCTTTGTATTAGCTTTTGTAAATCCAATCTTTGATTACTTTCGTATATAATAATTGACTATGAATGTAGTGCGAAATTGAATGACCACCATAAGTGCGACACTATGTAAATTTTTAGAATCTATTTGTTGCGAGTTCCTGTTTTTCTTTTAATATCAAGCAAGGAATTAAGCAGGGATAGAACGTGGCTGAATTAAACCCGATACATTGCGTTTTTTTTTAAACCCTTCATAATCCATTGTGACCCTACATCAAAGTGCATCCAAAGTATGATGAAATTATATAAATACAATAACAGATAAAAATAATAAAAATGCATACGTAGCAAAACTGTTACATGGACATAAAATAAATTAAACCTTTGTTTGATAAGTAATTTTTCATACAATGCAGCGTTGCTATTCGATAATAACCAAATATTCATGCCACTTGGCTTTGATGCGTTATCTATTATTCTGTTATTGTCAATATCGCTATGTTATCGTCTGTTTGATTGACATAAAGCTAATCTTAACCGGATTAAAAACCTATTTGTTGTTCACATATTATTTGTTATGCTGAAATGCATGTGAATTATGAATTAATTGACCAAAATCTACGTAGAAATAAATATGTTACACGAATCAATACTGTGTTCGAGAGCCGAGCCTGGATTGTTATAGATAGATTAAAATGTTTGAATCTAACAAATTTATTTCAATCTAGAATTTGCTTGCTTAATCTTTTGTAATAAGAACGGGAGTTCTATACTTTATTAAAGTTACAGAACATTACATTTTCATGTAACAAGAACATCGACTCCCAGAACATGTGAGTATGTATGTACAGTATGTGCAGTGCGCAACTGTAAGTACAAATTTAATTTTGCTTCGGCCCTATACTTTATAGCGAATTCCGATGACAAAAAGGAAACTAATGCGTCAATGATTACACCATCTTATATGTGATAGGTAAATTTTCATGCTTAATTTTCAAAAGTTTCCGAATTGGGTGAAACCTATACAAGTGTAGAATGTTCTGTAAAACTAATGAACCACAGATAGTATGATTTCCGAGGAGACGGAATGCCCCCGATCACGACACAATAAATAAGATCAACATTAATTTTCTGTAATTGGGAAATATTTCTATAAATAAAAAAAGATTTTTTACACAAAGAATATATACTCTCAGAATTTCCGTTAAAAGAACCGGCATCTCCTTAATTTTAAACCAAAAAAGTCCTTGTTTAAAATAATTAAAAACATTATGTCCTTCTGCATTGCTAATTTCCTATTAGTAAAACAAACTTTGGCGTTACTTTCCTTATTGTATCTTCCTAATTTCTAAATTTTTTTTGCTTTCAAACAATTGAAAATGTCTATACAATTCTTCCTTGCATATTTAGTACGTAAGAGGAACCATAAATAATAATAAGTTATTTATATTATCATTTAATTTTATTTTAATTTTCTTAATAAATCCCTTTTTTTTTAAAAAAAAAATAAAATAAAATAAAATAAACATGCGAAACCATGTGTAATCAATTTTAACAAATAAGTTATTGATTTTCACGGGATTGGTGATTATGTATATTTTATAATTTTTTATAATAATAGTGAAATAACCGCACAGCCATTTATCCGAAAATTTTTGCTTTTTTCAATCCAGATCATTTATTGTTTTAAAGTTTAATCTTTTTTTTTTTTTGCCTCTCGTAAAAAAACCCCCATCTTTGACTTCAAGGTTTTTCACACGTTACTGCAATAATCCTACTGGTTGTATTACAAAAACTTTAAAAAAAAAAAATGACCCGTTCAACATCTTCACTTGGTCTTTCAAGAAATAATCGAAAGCCAACAAAACCTTTAAAATCTTCCATTATATCAGCAACTTCTTCAAGGTGTCAAAGTCCGAAACCTTTAAAATCTCCTACTATTTCTCTTTATAATTTGACTCCTATAGATCGTGATTTAAATGACATACTTCGAAATTTGGTTGATGAATTATGTGATTTTTTTGTTAAAGCTAGACAAGATGGAAAAAATGAAGCTCAAACTGTTGATGTTATCGTAAATTTCTCTACTTCAAAAAATCAAGATCTTTCTCAAATTTTTGATTGGCTTTTAAATAATACTCATAAAGATAAATATAAAACTCTTTTGGGTTATTTTTATGATCAAGGTATAGCAACAAAAAGAAATCAAAGAAAAGCTTATTGTTTATATTTATCCGCTGGAAAAAATAGTTATCCAATTGCTGAAGATTTACTTGGTGATTGTTATTATTCTGGTCAAGGAACTACTAGAGATCGTGATATGGCTTTTGAATGGTATCAAAAAGCTGCTAATAATGGAAGTACTGGTTCTCAATTTAGTTTAGGAATTTGTTATGCTTTTGGTGAAGGTACTTCAAAAGATGTAAACAAAGCATTTCAATGTTATAAAAAATCTGCAAGTGGTGGAAATGTTAGTGGAATGAATGAATTAGGTTATTGTTATGAAGTTGGAATAGGAACAAAAAAAGATAATCGAAAAGCCTTTTTATTATTTGAACAAGCTGCTAAAGGTGGAAATCCTCCTGGTCAACATAACCTTGCTTCATGTTATGAAGAAGGAAAAGGAACTGAGGAAGATCTTGATAAAGCTATATATTGGTATAAAATGTCTGCTAATAATGGTCATGAAGTTGCTAAACGTCGTGTTCAAAGTCTTTTAAACTTGATCGCTCATCACCCTAATGTAGAAGACTCGCTATTATCAAAAGGTGTTGATATGAGTATGTATTTTATATAAATCCTTTTTATTAAGTTTTCTAAATACGTATATACACATATATATATTTACTTATTTATTAATCTTGCGCTATAATAGATTTATTAAACAATCAGTTTGGTGAACTCAAGTAAGTACATCAAAAGTTTCATCGTATTTATTATCCTTTAAAAATATTTCTAAATATTTATTAATCTTTATTTATTCATTAATAGTATGAATGCATAATATTTATTGGTTTCATGGTATTAGCGTTAGCAAATAATTTGGACTTTAAAAAAAAAAACAACGCTAATTTATTTTGTTCTACTTTAGTTATAATGTAGTTTTTGTCTGATAAAACCTGGACAAACTTGGACAATTGTTTTTTTTTAATTTTCGTTTTCTTTTTCTTTTTTCTTTTTTTCTTATTTAATCGTTTTTAATTTTTTGTCTTTTTTAATGGTTTGATCTTTTTTTTTAATTTTGTTTATAATTGCATTCCCTCGTCTCAAAATAATGCTCTTTATAAATATTCATACAACTGTTCGTTATTTGTGTTTATATGTATTTCATTTGTCTTATTTTGAGAAACTTTTGTATAATAAATGTCATTAAAACATTGTATACATTGTATATATACTCTTTTTAATCTATTCTCTTTTTTTTTTCGTATTTTACCAATTTTTATAATCCATTAGTACGCGATAAAATTTTACTAATAAACATAGTTGAGCTGCAGTTATGGATCCACGTGTACATAATACTGCATGTAACAAAACAAAAGTTTGGCAAATAAAAATTATACCTAAACGTAAGCAATTTTATCCTTGCTTGCAAAAATTTAAATCTTTGGTTGCTTTTATTCAATAACATACAATAATTACCTTTTACGTATTGTACTAAAAAATTTTTGAGTTTAGACAACATAATAATCCAAGTAACATAAAGAATATGCAATGTCACATTGAGGTTTCCACGTAGAAAGTTATGGATTCTACTAGTGTTAACTTACATGTAACAGTTAAGTATTTTTTTTTACCTGATAAAAGTAACTGACGTAAATTACTTGTAAGTTATAAATTCGATTAATGCTGGTAAAGATTGTCACATGATTCGGCCAGCTTTAATACACTATTGTAACTTCACTAGGAGCAGGAACTATTGTTCTGAACCTTAATATCTGGATTTAATTTATAAGTATTCTTTAAATTATTTGTAAAATCTGTAAACCAATTATTCTTTATTTATTAATATTTATAAAGGTTATTTTTTTATTAAAAAAAATTACTTGACAAGTATGTATATCGATTTTATTTAATGAAAAAAAATTTAAAACTGTTGAATAATTTATTCAATTAACTCTTTTATATATAGTCGACTCTATATAACGAACATTCTACAACGAACTCTTGATATAACACAGGTAGAATAATAAACATTTTTTTCAAGTATTCTTTCAAAAATTTACGGTGTCTTTTCCAAATACAATATTTTCTATATTACGTAACTAAATTCTTTCCCTATCTCTTTTACATGTAATTTAAACAGTTTGAAAATGTTTAGAAAGGTACCAAGAATTTTTGAAAAAATACTCGTCAAAAAGGTTCAATGTGTAAAGAGCCTAATTATTTTTAAATTATATAATAGTTCTTTATAAAAAACGTTATGAGCTTTTAATAAAACATAGTAATTTTATATGTAAAAATCTTTTTTTCGATGTTAATAATAAAATTATTACGTAAAAAAAATCTAAATTTTTTATTACTATACTATACTATATATAGTATATTTTTTGTCCGTTTTTTTTTACTATAAAATTACTAATAATTTTAAATATTAGTTTGCTAAAATAGGAAAATTTATAGCTTTATGTAAAAAAAAAAATCTACGTATAAAATTAGAAACACTATTTAAAAGCTATTAAATTTTTTTTATACAGTAGAGTAGTGTTTGTATGTAGTCGACTTAGTCGGCTTAGTCAACCAATTTTCCAAAAAATCTACTTGGTCGATTTTATGCTAGATTATATTAAAGTACCAATCAGATTTGATACATTACCTCTTTTTAGACATAGTACTAAGAGTAAGAGCCGAAGAAAATCAACGAACATAATAAGGTCGCGACAAACTTTCGGCAAAACCTGGCACAGAATCCATACGTGCGAGAATCAATAGTTTCTGAGTTTCTCAAATTCTGGAGCAAACTAAAATTTGTTTGTTTCGGTTTCGTCACCTAACTCTTCGAAATCACTTTATTGCCTTTGTCCGGAGATCGATGTAATTTCTGGAGAACTAGATGATTCATAAGACGAAACAAAAGAAATATCGAAATATTTTTAGTTTGCCCCAGAGTTTATGAGAACAGCTGTAACTTATTGATTCGGCCATCAAAAAAATTTTTCAATTGTCCTATGTGTATTTATATTAGAACTGCGGTTATAATAAAACCGACTATCAAACAATGCCGAGTGAACTGTTTGTATTTCTAAGAGATCGATTCCTCGTGTCTTCTATGCGATAACAATTTGATAAGGTTTTTTTGATTTCACAATCATAATTTAAAATTTGTTTACTATTAAGTTCGTTATATTAGCTTTATGTAGAAACATCATTATAGTCTAACCTAATTGATGTTTTTTTTTTTATTTTTCTATCTGAATTTAAATAAATTTATGTACTTTTCTGTGTTGCTTAATTATGCTTTTTTTTTTTTTAAAATAAAAAATGAATATTTTCGTTTATAAAGTTTAAAATATACTAGGTAAGTATTAATAATAAAATTATATGAATTATTATGTCTATATAAACCCCAAATAACCAGTTATATTACCAGAGAGAAGAGCGATGTTAAAATAAAAATATAACTAAATTTTGAAATGTTAATTTTCTTTTTCTAATTCAAAGGTAGTTTGATAATATTGACCATTAGTCTTGTTCTTTGCGAAGGCAGTAATTTCCATTTTTCCAAAACAAAGTCCAAAAAGAATAGGCCTTTGAAGACCAAGATGGGCATCTGGAAGATCAATTCGTAGTTTTCCAAGTGGATTCATCCCAATATCATCACAATATTTAGATTCAGGTTCCTGAGTAAGAAATATTTCAAAAGTTATAGCTACTTGATCTTTCTTTAAAGGATAACAGGTAAAAGTAAACTCTTGATCAACGGACACTTCAGTCCCTCTTGATGCCAATGGATGAAATTTATCAATATATCCGTCATAGCTTTTTCGGTTTGGTGGATCACCATCCTTCCATCTTATAGATTTTTTGATTCCATACGTATATTTAAGAACTCTAGTTTTGACGATAAATTTGTTCCAATCCAAAGTTACACCGTTGGCATTATTTTTCAAGCTGAGACCATAATATACAGCCCCACGACATACACTAGCAATCGGTTGAACGGGAACCGAAATAGAGCTAACTCTATGTTGGTATTCTTCTTTGATTCTTGATTGTAAATATTTGGATTGACTGAACCCTCCTACCAAAAATAGCATAGAACATTTATCATTTGAATTGTCTAGTTGTGCTTTTATCATGTTGATAATCCTATTAACAACAGGATCAAACATATTTTTGACAATCATATAATCCAATTCAATTATCCAATCATTTTCCTCTAGCGTATCTTTTGCTTCGCCCGTTACATATTGCTTGAGCACTGGACAAACCTCTAATAACAAATGCTAATATTAGCTTAGTTTTTATGCGCAGTATTTTAAAATATTTATCTTTAAATTATAATACCTCCAAGATCTAGATCATATGAATAGTTTAGATCTTTACCATCGAATAGAAATTTGACATTTTTACAAAATTCTTGAACCATATATTGCATTTGGCCATAATGAAGTTTTTCGAGCATATTTAATGGAAATTCACCAAGTTTTCTTTTAAGAAAATTGATAAATTCGCGATCTATCCAAGCACTTCCGCAAAAATCACCTGCACGTTCAGTAACTTCACCCAATTGGTTATTATTATATAATCTACGTGTTGTGAGATCTACTGTTCCACCACCTGCATCTATAATACAAAATATTGCTACATCATATCGAAGAAGTTATAATTAATCGACATATTATGTTAAGTGTAATTTACAGAAATTACCACAAGAGTATACATACTATGATCGATTCTATGGTCTGAATTAGCAACAATAGCTGGTTCTTTGAAACAATTCTTCATACAATAAATAGCAGCAGCTTCGGCTAAATTAAAAAAAAATTAAGTTCCAATTCTTATATATGAGAAATAAATAAAGTAGCATTAAAACATACGTTCTGTAGTAAATTGCAAATTTTCTGAGTTAACCTCGCCGATTAAACCTGCATTGAACACACAATCACGTAGTATACTACGTGACCCATGAGAGTATTCAGCAGGAACGGTCATAACGAGTAATACGTTTTTATGAAAATCAACGCTTGGCCAAGAAGTTGCGATTGTTTCTTTTATCAACTTTGAAGATGAAAAAATTTATAAAATTTAATAATCTATAATTTATTACTATATGTCATACCATAAGTTAATGTTTTTTATGTAACAAACCTTTCCTATTTCTCGAAGATAATCAGTGATCGCTTTCTTATAGTCCACAGGAAGTTTAGGTTTCATATCTTGAAACAGATTACCCAGATGAAGTTTAAATAATTCTACAGGTTTAGAATCGTTTTGATGACCTTTTTTTCGTTTAGGTCGCTTTGCAAGCGCAGGAAATCCCCATGATCCAACTTCATTAAATTTTTCATCATATTGCAATACAGTATTTGTCTTGAGACTACCTATCTCTCCTGGCCATGTATTATTAGTGCAAAGTCGGTCATTTTCATCATGAGTATGAATATATGCGAATCCCTGGTGATTATAGAATTTGTGATATAAGTATTGGGAAATATATAAGAAATATAAGAAATTTAAGAAATGAGAATAAAAAGTTATGTTTTTTTCATACAGAATATGTAGTCCCAAAATCTAAATACGTAATTATAAAAAGTTAATAAATTTGTAATATAAGTCATAGGTACAAATTCGCACGCGTAAATAAATAAAAAATACCTAATCCTACGATAACACGTATATCATCACTTTTATACATCATTGTTATTATATATTATATAAAACAATCTCTTAAGCTGTCGATATTGTCA